AACTTGATTAAAATCATATATAAAAATCGGTGTTTGCTTTAAGTTGTAATTTATTATTATTATTATTATTATTATTATTATCATCATCATCAAAGAAAGCGCTAAACCAGTAATTTGTTATTGTTTCTTATAATTTATTAAATTTGGTTACCTGATGTTAACCTAAACTCAGAAAACCTGAGTAATGACTGAAGTATATATATATGTCGTGCCGAATAGGCAGAACTTGCGATCTTGGCTTAAATAGCAACGTTCATCTTGCCATATAGGACAAGTGAAAATTTGTGTATGCAATAATTTCGCCAAAATCGTTCTGAACCTAACGAAAAAAATATATTTCACTGTGTTTGTTTAGTATTAAATTATTGTAAACTAATCTAAAATATACTTAGTTGGCTTAGGCTAAAATAAATTGTTCTTGTTATAATAAGGTTAGGTAAGTTTTCTAAGTTCCTTTTGGTGCAAAATTATAAATTTTTACATCAACATTAATGAAAAAAATATATCTTTAAACTTATAAGAGAAAATTTTAGAGAGGACTTAATTTTAAGTGAGTTCTTGCTAATTGACCAATTTTACATATTCGGCACGACAATATATATATATATATATATATATATATATATATATATATATATATATATATATATATATATATATATATATATATATATATATATGTATGTAACATGTGTTGGCATTAGGAGACAATGTTTTTAAGAGATGTACAGACCGTTGTTATTATTCATGGGGATGGCGCTAAACCTGTACGGGTTATATAGTTCCCGAGTGAATTATTAAGAGTATGTATGCAATACTGATGATGGAACAGACAAAAACACATAATCAAGAACTAACATTGCTGTAGAGCCAGCTTCGTTTTTTCCACGTTCTACAATCGGTGTAGAAAATTAACATTCCCTTCAGAGGACGGGGTATCTGATTATTATTATTATAATCAAGGGGGAAGCGCTAAACCCGTAGGATCGGGGTATCTGAACAACACAAAAGAGTTATGACGTTTTTGGATTATCCTGGATAATTTACACGTATGTTAAGCTATATATGATAATTGTACTTACATGTACTCGTACCGGGATATACGTACTTATTAAAGGCGAAAGTGGAACATGATCATACATACAAGGTATTCAGTAGAGGCATCGATGAGACGGAAATAAACACGGTTTCGAAAGTGGTGGAAACTAAACAAATTGAGACACAAATATAAGAAACATCTGCCAGAGGGAAGTGAGCAAGAGGAATGCAGTTGGGGAGAAGGTAGTGGAGGCAAACTCTATTTAAATGTAAATATGTCAAAGCCCATGGGGTTGGGGATGCAGCAGAGTGGGCGATTGATAGTCAGTAGGCGAGGTCCAGGAGCTGGATCTAAAAACCCCAGCAAACACTCACGATGAGTGCACACACAAGCCACATTACTATTATAATCAAGGGGGAAGCGCTAAACCCGGAGGATTATACAGCGCCTGGGGGGGGGATGTGGAAGGCATTCAAGCTTAATTCGGGGAACTGGAGCACAGATCCAATTCCCTAAATCAAGAGCCCCTCACCAACATCAAGGAACCTTCCTTGAGGGGACACAAGCCACAACACAGTGGGAGAAGAAAGTAGAAAACACATCAGATGGAAGAAAGTAGAACACAAATCAAGTAGAGGTAGAAGACAAATCAGGTATACCTGGAGGGCATTCCGAGGATCAACGCCCCCGCAGCCCGATCCATGACCAGGCCTCGCGGTGGATCAGGGCCTAATTAAACAGGCTCTTATTGCTGGTCGCATACAGACCGACATACGAACCACAGCCCGGCTGGTCAGGTACTGACTTTAGGTGTCTGTCCAGCTCCCTCTTGAAAACAGCCAGGGGTCTATTGGTAATCCTCCTCATGTATGCTGGGAGGCAGCTGAATAGTCCTGGGCCCCTGACACTTACTGTATTCTCTTAGCGTAGTTATGGCGCCTGTGCTTTTCATTGGGGGGGGGGGGGAGGGTGTTGCACCGCCTGCAGAGTCTTTTGCTTTCGTATGGAATGATTTCGTTGTATAGATTTGGGACTAGTCCTAGGATTTTCCAAGTGTACATTTTAATGTATCTTTCTTGCCTGAAACCGTTCCCAGTTATTTAGGTGTTTTATGTTACTTATACGTGCAGTGAAGGTTCTCTGTATATTCTCCAGGTCTGCAGTTTTGCCTGACTTGAAAGGGGCCATTAGTATACAGTAGGAAAGTAGAAAACAAATTAAATGGAAGAAAGTAGAAGACAAATCAAGTAGAAAACAAATAGATGGAATAAAGTTGAAGACAAATCAGATGGAAGTAGAAGACGAGTGAAGTAGAAGACAGGTCAGGTAGAAGTAGAAGACAAATCAGGGGACGATAACACCAAAGACAGGTCCGTAGTAGTAGAATAGGTTAAATGTTAATTCTTGGTGATCTTGTAATTATGTACGGAGGTCCACCTGATCTGTCATCAGTATATAAGCTTCATCTCTGCGCATATGCTGTACTTTTGTTAAGACTGATGGACTGAACACATCAACTCTAGCCTGAGGGACTGATTACCTCAAACTGCTCCTCATTTTCCACCTTTCTCTGCATTGTACTGAAGAAGCCACTTCATGGCAAAACGTTTCCAGAATAAAGATTCCCAAATGTTGCACATTTGTCTCATTTATCAACTTGTTAGTTTTCTCATTATTATTATAATCAAAGGGGAAGTGCTAAACCCATAGGATTATACAGCACCTGTGGGGGGGGGGGGTATGTGGAAGGTATTCAGGCTTAATTCAGGGAACTGAAGTAAATATCAAATTCCCTAGATCAAGAGCCCCTCACCAGGTTAGTTTTCTAAACCATTTATACACAGGTTCAGTTGTTTAGACCAAACATCAGAATAGGGAAGAAATATGATCCAACTGAGCTGGACTGTGGAATGACTGTTAGTGTCAGACAGGGTGGTTTAATTATTATAATCTAAACTAAGCACTAAACCCCAGGGTGGTTGATTATCTTATTATTATAATCAGTACTAAGTGCTAAACCCACAAGGGTCATACATTATTATAATCATGGGGGAGTGCTAAACCCGTTGGGTTATACAGCACACGTGGGGGGTGGGAGGAATGGAAAGTATTCAGGCTCAGTTCAGGAAATCAAAGCACAAATCCAATTCCCTAGATCAAGAACCCCTTGCCAGCATCAAGGAACCTCCCTACAAGGGTCATACAGCACTTCTTGATTATCTCAAACTGCTGATCTAGGATTTTCATGCACAACAATCTCAGAGTTTACAGGATAATAATATAATCAAGTGCTAAACCCAGAAGGGCCATACAGCACTGTAGAGAGAATGGTGTGAAAAATATGAAGTATCCAGCAAGTGGCAGTTCTGTGAGCAAAAAAAATTGTTAATGAGAGATCAGAGGAAAATGACTAACTAGCTCAAGCTATCAGGAAGAGCGACTCAAGTGACCATTATTATTATTATAATCAAGGGGGAAGCACTAAACCCTTAGGATTATACATTGCCTGTGGGGGGGGATGGGAGGTATTCAGGGTTAATTCAGGGAACTGGAGCACAGATCCAGTTCCCTAGAACAAGAGTCCCTCACCAGCATCAAGGAACCTTCCTTGAGAGGAGTGTGTTTGTAGCTTCCACTCATCTTTATTTGATTCAGGTCATACAGTGCCTTATGAATGAGAGGAAGTTGTATTCAATCCAAGGGAAAAAGTGCTAAAGCCCATAGGGGTTATAAGGCACCTGACGAATGGGAGCCATTCATATCCACATCTTCGTAAGTTTCAAAATTTTGTTCACATATCAAAGTTAACAGCATTGGTGTCTATAACACTATCTCAAAAATTTTTTGTACTTAAAAGCATGTTCGTAAAACTCACATTTTTCACATCAGTTATTGTCTAATTCCCACTGTCTTATTACATTGATGGGGCAAACACTAAACCTGTATGGGTTATACAGTGCTTAGGGGACATTATGCATTTAACCCTTAAACTGTCCAAACGTAGATCTACGTTCACATGCGTAGTGCTCCGACCTTCATTTTCCCCATTTGAAAGCATTTAAAAAAAAATGTAGATCTACGTTCAGAGCCCCCAGCACGTGGACGTAGATCTACGTTTGGACAGTTTAAGGGTTAAGTTTGATCAAAGGGAATGGGATACATCGACGTTCGATCCAAAAGGAAATATATTAAAGTCCTTGTCAAAAACCCCTCAGCAGCCTCGAGAAACCTGAGGGACTTTAAACGGTAATCTAAAATTTTCTAAATTTTCACTACTCTTTTAATTAACAAACTACTGAGTTGCTCTTATGATACAGTAAATCTTGCTTGCAATCTAGTACTGTTGTCAGGTATGACATTCAGAGGGATATGCTAAACCATTTGAGGTCATACATTTATTTTAACTATGGAGGCAATCTGGGGGAGGAGACTAAAGTCATACAGCACCTTGGGAATGAGATACACTTGATTCAAGAGTTGCTCCAGTGCCTTTAAAAAAATAAAATAAAAATGGAAACGAATGGTTTTTAATGCTTGACGTGCTGTTGGAGTGTGAGCAAAGTAACATTTATGAAGGGATTCAGGGAAACCAGCAGGCCGGACTTGAGTCCTGGAGATGGGAAGTACAGTGTCTACACTATGAAGGAGGGGTGTTAATGTTGCAGTTTTATAACTGTAGCATAAAGCACCCCTCTGGCAAGATAGTGATGGAGTGAATGATGATGAAAGTTTTTCTTTTTCGGGCCACCCTGCCTTGGTGGGAATTGGCTGATCTTTCTTCTTCTTTCAACACACCGGCCGTATCCCACTGAGGCGGGGTGGCCCAAAAGGAAAAACGAAAGTTTCTCCTTTTACATTTAGTAATATATACAGGAGAAGAGGTTACTAGCCCCTTGCTCCCAATTGGCTGATGTGTTGATAAAAAAAAAAAAATATACAAGAATGCTAATAAGACTCGGAGAATACTTAAAATTGTATTTGTCATAACACCTTTTTACAGAATAGTAGCAGAGAATAATGACCTCTCTTATTCATATTATCAGTTTTTAAGAAGTATTTACCATGCATTACAAACTCCTAATTATAATGTTCTAGAGCAATGTATTGAACAAAGAATAAAAAAAGGAGAATATTTTGGAATGTTGGGAAATTGGGCACGGATAAATCTCCATTTTAAGATACAGATATTTAAGTTTTGAAAAACTTTTAATAGTGCTTTATTCAGACTTATGCTTAGGTGGTGAGTCTTTGTGATGCAGGAACACCAAAGAGAAGAGGAAAACTCCTACCATCATTGAAAATGCACTTGCATAATAAGGGTATGCACATTCAATGAACCGCTCATACTGCCTGTGTGTGAATGGTCTTACAGAAACCTGAAGAAAAAATATTCTAGGTTAACTGACTGAATAATACAGTAAACATGAAGGTCTCCTAATACTAAAAATGAACAAATCACAAATGGCAAGAGGTGATCAAAACAGTGTTAAACAAAGTAGTTTATAATCAAACAACATATTTGGCTCTCCATTACAGCTGTATTACATCTAAACTCAGTTAAAAATTTATTATTCACTAACCTGGGTTGTGCTGAAGAGACGAGTGAAGCCAACACGATTATATTCCACCTTGAATTGGTAGACACCATAAACATCAGGTACCTAAGTAAAACCAATTATATTTTAGTGACTCAAACTTATATAAATGTATCTATCATTTTTACAAGCAATTACTGTCCAGTGGACATGACCTGCTCTTGCTTGGCAAGGATGGTGAAAAGCTGAGGAGCACCACTCATGAATTTGTGAATGCACTGAGAAATACATAGAGCACAAAGTTTTTTACATGCTATGAAATTTTGGTTGAATATTTTTTATTGAGTTAATTTATAATTTCACTATGTTCTTTCGTGTTGTATGGCTTTAAAAACAGGTTTGACAAATAAATTAGGTCTAAGGAGGACCTGCCTAGAATGGGCCAATGGGCATACTGCAGTGCTCCTCTACTTTTATGTTCTTAGGATCATAAATCATACAGAGAATACTTGCATGTGTGAAGGTATCCTAGTGTACATAAGACTTCATAAAGCTCTGAGCAAAACATTGGCCTAATCAAAGCAAGTTCAATGCATTATATATTTATACCTACACAAGTGAAAGATGAATAAATATTTCACTGGGAGAAGTGCCTGAACATCAGGAAAGTTTTGGAATTTGGTACTTATGGCATAAAATTTATAAAATGAAATAAAATACCTTGAAATTCACAGAGAAGACACCATTAGGGTGGGGTGTCATGGTAAGCCTGACAAATGGGTCAATGCGCACAAACTCCAACTGGAGATCATTTGCTAAGAACGGTTTCCATACGCCATCTTCCAGCCGCTCAATCTTGATCTTGTATTCCTAAAACCAAAGAAAAGATAAATATGTCACACCCCCTATACCTATCTCTTCACACAAATTGAATATTAAATGCTTCCTGTAACAAGCCTGTCAAACTTCTTATATTGTGCATTCTATTGTACATTCACCATCATTTATGAAATCACTGGCTTTCAAGCGTGTGCGGACATTGCAATTAAATTACCCTCCGACTGTAAAATCCCCACCCTTCCTTCAGAGTGCAGGCACTGCTCTTCCCACCTCTAGGAAGTCCAGCTAACCATTTCCCTGAATCCCTACATAACTTTTTTTTTTTTTTTAACATGTCGGCCGTCTCCCACCGAGGCAGGTGACCCAGAAAAAACAAAAATTTACCATGATTCACACATAATCACTGTCTTTGCTGAGGCACTCAGATTTGACAGATCAGATGTCAATCCAACCAGTAAATATCCTAAACTCCTCCTCTAAAGTGCAGGCACTATTTCTCACCTCCAAGACTCATGTCTGGCCTGTATTTATATTAAATAATGAAAAGTCCTAACATCATGCCTAGGGTCCATCCTGGCCTGTTAAGTCACAGCTTGATAATGATCCAGGACAGACTGAAATGTCTTAAATTTCCTCTCCATGTCTGGATTATTTGTGAATTTATTTATTATTCATGCTCATGGTGTAAAAATTATGCAGAGAATTCTTAGTGTGGAAATTAGTAGGTGGTGTGGAGTTATTAAAAGTATTAGTCAGAGGGCTGAAGAGGGGCTGTTGAGGTGGTTTGGTCATTTAGAGAGAATGGAACAAAGTAGAATGATTTGGAGAGCATATAAATCCGAAGGAAAAGGAAGGCAGCGTAGGGCCCATCCTTGAAAAGGTTGGAGAGAGGGGGTAAAGGAGGTTTTGTGGGTGAGGTGCCTGGACTTCCAGCAAGCATGTGTGTGTGTGTCTGTGTGTTAGATAGGAGTGAATGGAGATGAATGGTTTTTGGAACCTGACAAGCTGTTGGAGTGTGAGTAGGGTAATATTTTGTGAAAGGATTCTGGGAAACTGGCTAGCCGGACTTAAGAGTCCTGGAAATGGGAAGTACAATGCCGGACTTTAAAGCAGGGGTTTGGGATATTGGCAGTTTGGAGGGACGTCTAAGCTGTCATATCAGAGTGCCTCTGCAAAGACAGTAATTATGTATGAGTGATGGTGAAAGTGTTGAATGATGATAAAAGTTTTCTTTCTGGGTTTTTCTTTCTATTTGGGTCACCCTGCATTGGTGGGATATAGCCAATGTCTTAAAAAAAAATATATCCATCATAATTCAGTCCGGATACAATTTTTCTCTCATTCAATCTTTCACAATCTAATTTCTTAAGTTATCCAACTAGAGCTCATGTCTGCTGTAAAAAAAAAAACATAAAAGCTGAGATTAACACATGCTTTCTCTTCCACTAAAACATCTCATAACATCACTGTATATACTTTTCACAATCCTTGAATGCACTTCTCCTTAATTTTGGCTTTATTTTTTGTTCTTTCTGTGATCCTATTTTTCTCTCTACACTCCTCATTCTGAAGAATTATTTTTCCATTCCCTGCTAAAATATCATTTCTCCAAATAAAACTGAATATCTGCTTCCTTTCACTAACTTCGATTTTCTTTTTATTATTATTAGTACTACAGGTCTGGAAGCATCTTCATGCAGCATTTATGTTTTCTCCATACTACATTTATCTTACTACTAAACATTGTATGTTTTTAACACCAGCCATCTCCTGCCAAGTTAGGGTGATCTAAAATTGAAGACACACTTTTACCACCATTCACTCTATCACTGCCTTGCCAGATGTGCACCAACATTACAGCTCAAATGCCCATCCAAACTGCATTATCCCCACCCTTCCTTCAGAGTGCAGGCACTATTTTCCACCTCCAGGACTTAAGTCCAGCTAACCAGCTCCCTGAATCCCTTCATGTTAGCCTTCTTACACTCGAACAGCACATCATAAAACACTACACAAATAACCTGCACATAGAAGTGAGGAGCTTATAACATTTCAGTCTGACATGGACCATTTACAAAGTCACACTAACAAAAAGGAGAGGAGGAGGGAGTATATATAGGCCAGCAGACAGGGACAGGAGCAAGAGAGGTAGTTGTAGTGGAGTCAGTCAGATACTAAGAAAGAGGAGCACTACAAGGGAGTTAGAGGCTCCACAGAGGGTAGGAGCAAGAACACAGAGGGGAGGAAAAATAATAATAAAGGACAAATACCCAAGGCAGAAGAAAGAAAACCCAAAGGAGAAAGAGGAAAGGGGAAGAGGGAGAAGGAGAAAAAAGAAAAATCAGGTTAAGTCACAAGTGTTCTGAGGTTTGAAGCATTTAACACTATAATGGGAAAGGAAGGCATCTACAGACACAAAGCCATAACTAAGATTCATACAAGGAAAGTTGTGTATAAGAGAGGATTCAACCAAACAGCAACTGCGAAAGTTCGAAGTAGGGTAGACAGTTTTAGCAAAAGACCAGTCAATAGGTTGACTGTGATCTCTGACATGACAGAAAAGAGCACTGTTGGTGTCGGAAAGCCTAACACTACTCTTGTGCTCCCTAAGTCTGTCAGAAAGAGATCTGTCAGTTTCTCCAAAGTACTAAAGAGGACAAGAGGAACAAGAAATAGAGTAGACACCAGGAGCATATATAGAGGGAGGAAAGGTATGAACTAGATTAGTGCAAAGAGTGTTAGTCTGGCAAAAAGTGAGTCTGATGTCTAAGGAAAGGAGAGAGTTGTTGAAATATAGGGAAGGCAGAGGACAGGAGAATTCCCAGGAGTAGAGGGTTTGTGAGAGAAGAAAGTCTGTTTAGTACGTGAGAAGGCAGAGTCTATGAAATGGGAAGGGTAGCCAAGACAGGAAAATGAATTATGAAGAGTGGAAATTTCTGATTCAGGGAACTGAGGACCACAAATGCAGAGAGCATGGAGAAAGAGGAAGATAAGAATACTTTTCTTGACAGAGGAAGCATAAGTAGTGGATGTACATGCCACTATGCATAGGCTTGCGGTATACGGACAAGGCAAAACCTGAATCGAAGCGGTGGACATGAACATCAAGGACTGGAAGCAAGGAATGAGATTCCGATTCAGCTTTAAACTTAATGGAAGGGGCAAGATTATTAAGAGCATCAAGAAATGGTTGTGAGTGTGGGGGAAGTTCGTGAGGCAGTAGGTAAAATGAAAGGGGGTAAGGCAGCCGGGATTGATGGGATAAAGATAGAAATGTTAAAAGCAGGTGGGGATATAGTTTTGGAGTGGTTGGTGCAATTGTTTAATAAATGTATGGAAGAGGGTAAGGTACCTAGGGATTGGCAGAGAGCATGCATAGTTCCTTTGTATAAAGGCAAAGGGGATAAAAGAGAGTGCAAAAATTATAGGGGGATAAGTCTGTTGAGTGTACCTGGTAAAGTGTATGGTAGAGTTATAATTGAAAGAATTAAGAGTAAGACGGAGAATAGGATAGCAGATGAACAAGGAGGCTTTAGGAAAGGTAGGGGGTGTGTGGACCAGGTGTTTACAGTGAAACATATAAGTGAACAGTATTTAGATAAGGCTAAAGAGGTCTTTGTGGCATTTATGGATTTGGAAAAGGCGTATGACAGGGTGGATAGGGGGGCAATGTGGCAGATGTTGCAAGTGTATGGTGTAGGAGGTAGGTTACTGAAAGCAGTGAAGAGTTTTTACGAGGATAGTGAGGCTCAAGTTAGAGTATGTAGGAAAGAGGGAAATTTTTTCCCAGTAAAAGTAGGCCTTAGACAAGGATGTGTGATGTCACCGTGGTTGTTTAATATATTTATAGATGGGTTTGTAAGAGAAGTAAATGCGAGGGTCTTGGCAAGAGGCGTGGAGTTAAAAGATAAAGAATCACACACAAAGTGGGAGTTGTCACAGCTGCTCTTTGCTGATGACACTGTGCTCTTGGGAGATTCTGAAGAGAAGTTGCAGAGATTGGTGGATGAATTTGGTAGGGTGTGCAAAAGAAGAAAATTAAAGGTGAATACAGGAAAGAGTAAGGTTATGAGGATAACAAAAAGATTAGGTGATGAAAGATTGAATATCAGATTGGAGGGAGAGAGTATGGAGGAGGTGAACGTATTCAGATATTTGGGAGTGGACGTGTCAGCGGATGGGTCTATGAAAGATGAGGTGAATCATAGAATTGATGAGGGAAAAAGAGTGAGTGGTGCACTTAGGAGTCTGTGGAGACAAAGAACTTTGTCCTTGGAGGCAAAGAGGGGAATGTATGAGAGTATAGTTTTACCAACGCTCTTATATGGGTGTGAAGCGTGGGTGATGAATGTTGCAGCGAGGAGAAGGCTGGAGGCAGTGGAGATGTCATGTCTGAGGGCAATGTGTGGTGTGAATATAATGCAGAGAATTCGTAGTTTGGAAGTTAGGAGGAGGTGCGGGATTACCAAAACTGTTGTCCAGAGGGCTGAGGAAGGGTTGTTGAGGTGGTTCGGACATGTAGAGAGAATGGAGCGAAACAGAATGACTTCAAGAGTGTATCAGTCTGTAGTGGAAGGAAGGCGGGGTAGGGGTCGGCCTAGGAAGGGTTGGAGGGAGGGGGTAAAGGAGGTTTTGTGTGCGAGGGGCTTGGACTTCCAGCAGGCATGCTTGAGCGTGTTTGATAGGAGTGAATGGAGACAAATGGTTTTTAATACTTGACGTGCTGTTGGAGTGTGAGCAAAGTAACATTTATGAAGGGATTCAGGGAAACCGGCAGGCCGGACTTGAGTCCTGGAGATGGGAAGTACAGTGCCTGCACTCTGAAGGAGGGGTGTTAATGTTGCAGTTTAAAAACTGTAGTGTAAAGCACCCTTCTGGCAAGACAGTGATGGAGTGAATGATGGTGAAAGTTTTTCTTTTTCGGGCCACCCTGCCTTGGTGGGAATCGGCCGGTGTGATAATAAAAAAAAAAAAAAAAAAAAGAAATGGTTGGAAGAGACTAGTCTTGAGGTCAAAGACCAAAGATATCATCTACATAGCAGAGCCAGAGTGAAGGGCACATATCAATAGTAGGAAGTAGTAGTCTCCTGAAGTATTCCATGTAAAGATTAGCAAGAATAGTAGGAAGTAGTAGTCTCCTGAAGTATTCCATGTAAAGATTAGCAAGAACATAAGATAGAGGAAAGCTCATAGCAACACCGAAGGTTTGAGAATAATATTTACCTTGGAAGGAAGAGGAATTTGAGTCCACACAAAGGTGGATAAGATCAAGAAAGACATCAGTAGGTATAGGGAGATGAAGTAACCCTTCACTGGCCTTCTCTCCGAGAAAATTAAGGACATCATCAAGAGGGACATTAGTGAAGAGGGACTCAATGTCAAGACTAAGCATCTTACAGGTCGGGAGAGAGCGAACCCATTCGATGAAGTCTTGAGAGTGACGAAGGTGAGCAGGAGAAAAAGTACCAAGAAGCAAGAGGATATGATGGGACACAGAGGAATATCAGGTTTATGAGTTTTGGGAAGGCCTTTTATTGTTATTTAGCACATCATAAAAACTGACTTAAGAAATCGTAATGACACGATTGCAAATAAACCATACCCCCGGCCGGGATTGAACCCGCGGTCATAGAGTCTCAAAACTCCAGCCCGTCGCGCTAACCACTAGACCAGCTAGCCACAATAAGATTCATCCAACTAGGTATATTTCTACACCATAGGAAGGTTAGCACAGGCACCTCTGTGACCACAAATGCAAGTTTTTACAGACGAATCTCCAGCTAGCGTGGCCGTGACGAACTCTAGCTCAAGTCCCTTCACTGCCGTCAACATGACTTAAGAAATCGTAATGACACGATTGCAAATAAACCATACCCCCGGCCGGGATTGAACCCGCGGTCATAGAGTCTCAAAACTCCTATGGTGTAGAAATATACCTAGTTGGATGAATCTTATTGTGGCTAGCTGGTCTAGTGGTTAGCGCGACGGCTGGAGTTTTGAGACTCTATGACCGCGGGTTCAATCCCGGCCGGGGGTATGGTTTATTTGCAATCGTGTCATTACGATTTCTTAAGTCATGTTGACGGCAGTGAAGGGACTTGAGCTAGAGTTCGTCACGGCCACGCTAGCTGGAGATTCGTCTGTAAAAACTTGCATTTGTGGTCACAGAGGTGCCTGTGCTAACCTTCCTATGGTGTAGAAATATACCTAGTTGGATGAATCTTATTGTGGCTAGCTGGTCTAGTGGTTAGCGCGACGGGCTGGAGTTTTGAGACTCTATGACCGCGGGTTCAATCCCGGCCGGGGGTATGGTTTATTTGCAATCGTGTCATTACGATTTCTTAAGTCATGTTGACGGCAGTGAAGGGACTTGAGCTAGAGTTCGTCACGGCCACGCTAGCTGGAGATTCGTCTGTAAAAACTTGCATTTGTGGTCACAGAGGTGCCTGTGCTAACCTTCCTATGGTGTAGAAATATACCTAGTTGGATGAATCTTATTGTGGCTAGCTGGTCTAGTGGTTAGCGCGACGGGCTGGAGTTTTGAGACTCTATGACCGCGGGTTCAATCCCGGCCGGGGGTATGGTTCATAAAAACTATTTGCCTCCACTCATTCCTATCTAACATGCTCACACATGCCTGTTGAATGTCCAAGCCCCTCACATACAAAACCTTTACCCCCACCCTCCAGCCATTCCTAGGATGACCCCTACCCCTCTTTCTCTCCACTACAAATCAATACACCTTCCAAGTCGTGCTATTTTACTCCATCTTCTCTAAATGACCAAATGACTTCAATAACCCCTCTGGATAATAGTAACACCACACATCTTTCTAATCTCTAAACTATAAATTATCTGCATGAAATTCACACCACATACTGCCTTCAGACATTTCCACTGCCTTCACTCTTTTCCTTGTGATGAATGGTTTTGAAAAACCGACAAGTTGAAGATTGAGACACTTATGCAGCATATGGAAATCTTTATTCAGGAAACGTTTCGCCACACAGTGGCTTCATCAGTCCAATACAAAGAGGAAGGCGTAAGGAGAGGAGGAGAATGAGGTAATCAGTCCCTCAGCCTGGAGTCGATGTGTTCAGTCCATCAATCTTGTACCATTCATCACAACTGTCAGACACTGCAGCATCATGGGATCTTGTTACAAAGAATTCTTCAACACTTGTTCAACCTTTGGACGAAGACCTACTTCGACTAGTGGATGGTACCACTATGACCCCGCCTCCATCTGCTTCACGTTACCTCACTACAGTATATAAGCCACGTCTACGGCCCTATGCTGTACATTCTACAAGATTGATGGACTGAACACATCGACTCCAGGCTGAGGGACTGATTACCTCATTCTCCTCCTCTCCTTACGCCTTCCTCTTTGTATTGGACTGATGAAGCCACTGTGTGGCGAAACGTTTCCTGAATAAAGATTTCCATATGCTGCATAAGTGTCTCAATCTTCAACTCTTTTCCTTGCTGCAATGTTTAAAATCCATGCTTCACACCCACGTAAGTGCTCGTGCCACTGTGATACGTTTCTCTTTTTGCCTCCATAGATAACATTCTTTGTCTCCACAGATGCCTCAATGCACCATCATCTTTTGTAGACCTGCCCGCCAACAAGTAAACTCCCAAATATTTGAACACATCCACAACAATGTATTTATTTATACTCTAAAGGGTACAGCTTCTCATTCATTACAAGGGAGTATATAGGCTTTGTGAATCATTTGCTGCTAAACAGATCTTGCTCAGGAATAACAATTATTCATAGCTAGAGAAACAATCAATGAAAGTTTAAGATTAAGATAAATTTTGTTTTACTTGTCTAAGAATGCTAAATTTATATAACCTACCACATCTTGTTTGATTGTGTAGGCTGATGGAGGCTCTGACTCGCCCTGAAGGTGATGCTTTACTGAAGCTACTCGCAGTACACCTTCCTCCATGAAGACCCATCTACTCAAGGCTTCCACTACTTTTCCATTTCCAGAGCGTTCATAAAAAGCTCCCTGGAATGCAAGCACTTCATTAATAAATACAAGCTAAAATTTTGACAAAAGTATTCACTAGAGGAACTTTGGAATCCAAGTGTATTATCAATAGAAGAGTCAAGCATTTCATTTTGTTTTAATATTGGGATAAAAGTAATACATTTATTTTAGTTATGGCAGTAGCAAAACTACATGATGCACTACTATCATTACCAAGCTCCATAATTTTAAGTGGTGGAAGTAGTTACTAAAAAAAAAAAAAAAAAAAAAAAAAAAAAAAAAAAAAAAAAAAAAAAATTATTTCATGATAATTGGGTTAAAGGATACTTACTCAAATAACACATTTTTCATATCTTTCAAACTCTGGAGCCAGAAAGAAATTACCATCAGCAAAATAAGAAAACCCCCACAGCACTGAGTGTGTTTCACTAGCTATTTGTAAGAATGCCCTACAGAATGTCATTCATCCCTCAATAAAACTTTGCTCCACTTCTGTACTATTCATCATTACATCACGTGCTGCTGCCAATACAAAGTATCAGGTTGTTACTTTCAGACACCATATCTGCTGCCACCTTTTTGTACCTTCAAAATTTACTGATATACAGTAGACCGTCATTTAACACGGTAGTTACGTTCCTGAAATTGGAGTGTCAGGTAAAACCATGTTAGATGAACTGAAGAACTAGTGGGAAAAATAGGGTTACATTCCTGGGAGCCCCAAAAAAGCCTAAACTTTTTTTTAGGCCTCCACATCTTACAAAAATAAAAGTGAATATGGAATTGTAGTTCACTGTTGTGATGTATAATGTTGTTTTTACTGGTTAAGACTACAAATGTAACAGAAATAATAGTATTTCTTACCTTAAATTGTGGGTGCTGGTGTTTGTGGATGATTGTGAAGAGAGTGGAGAGTTATGCTGTAGCCTTACTGGTCTGAGGTGGATAGTAGAGGTTCTGGTACTGGAGTGTCTAACTTCAAGTCATTGAGTCATTCAGTCAAGTCAGCAAGTCATTCAGTCAAGTCAGTAAGTCATTCAGTCAACCAAACTCATGTTTACCTCTTTTTATGTGTACAAAGTAACGCTTCATTACGGTTATTTCTTGTTTAATATCCTCGTTTCCTTCGTTAATTCTAAGACTTAAATGCTTATACCTTTTCTTGCCACTTTCAGCAACATTGGTATGCCTACTGGGTGTCATGATTGCTTGGCAGATACAAGATATAGTAATTAAAAGATCAAAACATAATTCACAAACACAGCTAGCTTGTAGCAAAGAAAGACTGGACACACATGAAATATGAATGCTGGGATGATGGGGGTGGTGTCAGGGGATGGCACGAGGCCTCCCTGGCTGATCCACAACAAGGGGGCCGCTTGAGGAAAAGGGAATTTTTTTCCTTCCCACAAACTGAACCATGTTAAATTAATTTTACAATGTGTTACATAAAATTATGCCGCAATTCTTCAATCGTGCTATACCCGAATCGTGCCAAATAAACTTGTTCTAAATGATGGTCTACTGTACTTTCTTCACTATTTTTTCATTTTGAATAACCTAAAAGTAGTGTAGGAATATACACGCTATAATTTATGCCCTGAGTATTTCTCCCTCTTTATTTTTTGCATTCATATTAGTGTGAAGTTTATTTTGGTTCCTTTTATTCTGATAACACCATACATGCTCCACAGATTGGCCATGCTTCTTTCTCATAACAAGACTAAACCCACTGATTCAAATCCATACATGTGGGATACAGCCCTCAAGCCACATTTATTTCTACAGAATCATGTTTTCTAATCAATACTTAGCACTTTCATTACACTGATAGCCACCTTCCTTTCTTCCTTCCCTAACACATCATATAAATTTATTTTTTTTAACCACACTGGCCATCTCCCACCAAGGAACGTGATCCAAAAAAGGAAACACTTTTACCATCATTTACACTACCACTGTCTTGCTAGAGGCATGCAAATATGAAAGTTTAGACGTCCCTCTAAACAGCAAATATCCCAAAACCCTCCTTCAGAGTACCTCCACCTTCAGGAATCAAGTCCAGCTAACTAAGATTCCCTGAATCCTTCACAAAATATTAACTTGCTCACACTCCAACAGCTCTTGTTAGCTATAACTCCAAGTACACCTACCATCCGACTTACGACCACTCGACTTACGACCGTGTTTTTTTTGCCAAATTTCTGGGAAATAAACAACTATTTGTGTTGTACACAGTGTTTATCCTAAACCTTACAGTATAAAATACTGTAAAACATGAAATACCAAAATAAAACAAAATAAAGTCATTACAAAAATGTGATGTTGATATTCATCACATCCCAGCACTCATTTGATTCACCATCATGTAATAAATAATAATCCTGTCAAGTCTGGATAAAAGTTACGTCAGAGATTACTGAAAATGCTACTCCACATGAACAGATTATTGCATCAAAATGCACATATTAGTCCTCTTATAAGGAAATTCAGCAGAAATTTTCATAATACATTTCATCCCTATTTAAAGCATAACTTCAACATTTCCCAAGGAATTCTACATGCTGGTCTAGTTGCAATGTGAATGAAATATTAAAACTATGGTACTGGGAAAAATTATATGCTAGGGAAGAGTAATAATACTGCAATGTAGTTTGAAAGCGGCCTTTTTTCATGAATTAAAGGAAATTTAAATTCTTGATAATGAATATGCATTACAGACAAATGCAGTAACTGCCCCGCAACAGCAAATTCATCAGCTGGTGTAAGGAATGCCTCCTGTATATTCAATATATGATACCTCATATCACAGATCACTAAAAAGCACAGACTGGTTGTTAACCGACTCTGAAGTGATCCTTCTCACTCAATATTCCTTCTCTCTTATTTTTCCCCTCCTATTTCCCTTCATCCTCCTAGCCAAAGGCTATAAAGGTGTAATAAACACTACACAATGCGTTATTTAGATTACAGCTATCTGCATTGTTGATTTAATCTGAGATGGAGAGGCTGAGTGAAGCAATATTTGGTAAACAGTTAAATAACGATGATATGATCAACATCAGAAAAGTGTGAGGGGTAATTAATGGGTATCAATTAAAGTTAATTAACCCTTTCAGGGTTTCGGCCATACTAGTACGGCTTACGAGCCAGGGTTTTTGACGTACTAGTACAGCTTACGGGCCAGGGTTTTTGATGTACTAGTACGCCTAAATTCCAGCGCCCTCAAATCTAGTGAGAGAAAGCTAATAGGCCTACATATGAAAGAATGGGTCTATGTGGTCAGTGTGCGCGGTATAAAAAAAATCCTGCAGCACACAGTGCGTAATGAGAAAAAAAAAAACTTTGACCGTGTTTTTGGATTAAAACAGCGACTTTGCACTATATTTTCGTATGGTATTTATTGTTGTATTCTAGTTTTCCTGGTCTCATTTTATAGAATGGAAGACATATTACAGAAATTGAGATGATTTTGACTGGTTTTACAAAGAAAAGTACCTTGAAATTGAGCTCAAAATAGCAGAAATGTTCGACTTTTACCAAAGTTCAAAAGTAAACAAATCATGCTATACGTCCAATATACGTTAACTGGTGAGTCTAATATTCTTTCACAAGTGCGCTGATATTATTTATACCATTCCTACACCAATGCAGTAGTCTGCATAACAGTAAATCTTCTATTTTTTTGTGAGAATAAAAATTCCAAGTGGAAAGCAAAAGAATGTAAGAGGGGCATGGGAAAGTGACTAATGAACAGAGGAAATGTTATTTTCGTGCCAGGAATATCTTTCTTGTTTATTCTGGACCCTATTTGGAAATTGGCATCTTTTGAAATTTGTGTGAAATTGGCAAAATTGCTAAATTCTGACCACTGTATTGGATAGTTGAAATTGGTAAATGGGTGGTTTCTTGCACTCATTCGATAGAAAAAATGGAGTGCCAGCGAAATAGTTATGATTTTTGTCAACAAGTATACTGGAATTGGCAGAAAATAGGGCTCAAAGTGGGCAAAATTGCCGATGCAAAAACACTGTCTAGACCGCTAACTTCACGAGAGCATAATTCCGTAAGTTTTCCATCAAATTTCATACTTTTGGTGTCATTATGATCGGGAAAGATTCTCTATCTTTTCATTAGAATTTTTTTTTTTTTTAAATTTGGCCGACCCAGAGAACAAGTCTTTGAGAGGGCCTGTCGACCCTGAAAGGGTTAAACCAGACCAAAAGTCTTAGGGCTACCAGAGTCTCACTCTGACATTAGAACATTATTGATTTATCAAGGCTCTATAGTATAATGAAGTCAGTTGCAGATTGGTCATCTGTTAGGCCAAGGTTGATGTTGCAGTCTCCTGTTAGTAGGTGGTGCTTATCTGTGTATCTGTAATCAGTGTTTTAGTTTATCACGAAAAGCTGGGATATTATACATAACCCATTTTGTATAAATTTATAGTTTTAAAAGATTTTTAATATTACTGTATTTAAAATGCTATGTACTCATTACAAATTTCTTTACCTGTGGAGTCTGAACAGAAGCCATGATAAAAGCATCAGAGAAGAACTCTAGGGAGCCAGAAACTATAACACGGGCATTATTGCGGGCCTGCAGTGCTGCCACAAGCAACATGTTCTGACCTGCAACACACAACAAATTGTCTATGCTTTTCTTTTAACACAGTATATTGTATATACAGCAGTACAATACAATATATACATTGTATATACTGTAGTCTAAAAAATTATACACAAATAACGTGTACACAGGAGAGAGGAGCTTATGATGACGTTTTGGTCTGACTTGGACCATTTATAGTTACAGTATGACTTTGTAAATGGTCCAAGTCAGACTGAAACATCGTCGTAAGCTCCTCTCTCCTATGTGCAGGTTATTTGAGAGTTGATCCAATCACAGTATTGTTCCTTTTTTGTTTTTTTAAAAATTATGTTTTATAATAAATAAATAAACAGGCAAATGCAGCAACACATCACAAGTGTTTAATGTTCCACAAAGCCTGCTTCGATCATTCATGTTTTCTCTTGATGTCCGACACTAAATTAAACAACCACAAGATTTTATTCAAAATGCACTCATACTTTTCGGTCAATACTTAGCAGATTAGAGCAATATTTAAAGACATTAAAAAAAAAAAAAAAAAATTAAATCATTCAGATATGCAAAATTTCCTATTACCCATGGCTTCAGGTCACCTCCAGAAACTCAACTCTCCCAATGAATAACAAGACTCATCTGCACTTATGAAAATACAGCATTAACCCTTGCTCAACATTGTCCTTTAAATTTGGGCTTTCAGGTACATACCCCCATCACCAGCAAGGCTTCTTTGTACTATAAATAGGGTGTAAACACAGTGTCCTTATTCTTTTTTTTTTTTTTTTATTATCACACCGGCCGATTCCCACCAAGGCAGGGTGGCCCGAAAAAGAAAAACTTTCACCATCATTCACTCCATCACTGTCTTGCCAGAAGGGTGCTTTACACTACAGTTTTTAAACTGCAACATTAACACCCCTCCTTCAGAGTGCAGGCACTGTACTTCCCATCTCCAGGACTCAAGTCCGGCCTGCCGGTTTCCCTGAATCCCTTCATAAATGTTACTTTGCTCACACTCCAACAGCACGTCAAGTATTAAAAACCATTTGTCTCCATTCACTCCTATCAAACACGCTCACGCATGCCTGCTGGAAGTCCAAGCCCTTCGCACACAAAACCTCCTTTACCCCCTCCCTCCAACCCTTCCTAGGCCGACCCCTACCCCGCCTTCCTTCCACTACAGACTGATACACTCTTGAAGTCATTCTGTTTCGCTCCATTCTCTCTACATGTCCGAACCACCTCAACAACCCTTCCTCAGCCCTCTGGACAACAGTTTTGGTAATCCCGCACCTCCTCCTAACTTCCAAACTACGAATTCTCTGCATTATATTCACACCACACATTGCCCTCAGACATGACATCTCCACTGCCTCCAGCCTTCTCCTCGCTGCAACATTCATCACCCATGCTTCACACCCATATAAGAGCGTTGGTAAAACTATACTCTCATACATTCCCCTCTTTGCCTCCAAGGACAAAGTTCTTTGTCTCCACAGACTCCTAAGTGCACCACTCACTCTTTTTCCCTCATCAATTCTATGATTCACCTCATCTTTCATAGACCCATCCGCTGACACGTCCACTCCCAAATATCTGAATACGTTCACCTTATTCTTACGCAATATAAATTTGAGATCACCATATTAACTATCCACAAGCTTCTGACTGAGCACATGCCATGCAGGTGCTAAGAAACTATAGTACCACTGCACTAAACCAACCTGTAGCATGTGGGTAATCTGTTATGGCCTGGGTGGGGTTATAACAGTAGGCAGTGGAGGGTGCTCTCAAGACAGGGAGCACAAGTGGGTTATCAGCATCGGTGATGAGTCCTGTTCCACGATACAAGAGTGGAACTGCATCCCTAGGCCCTACCATAACTTCAGATTCAATTAATCCTGCACTTGGTGAAGCAATGAGCGTGTGCTGAAAAAAATCAATGCAAAAAATCTATCAAAAGTTAGAAAAAATTAAATAGATATGATTATCAATTCAATATTGAAAGAAAACATTAAAAATATTTTGGTTTCAGGTTTTGATTGTGCCGAATATAAGCAACATGCATTACCTGCCCATCATCGTTGGCATCATAGTGTAGATGGTCAATGACTGCTGCACCTTCCTCATCCATCTCTACCCCGACCTCAGTCACTAGTTCACGGATCAAGTCTGCAGCATCCCGAGATCCTGCCACTAGTACACTTCCACCACCATCAACGAACTCCACAATAGTCTTTTGAAAAGCAAAAAAGGAGAAAGGAACATATGTCATTTGTTTTGCTTTAGCCTGAAAATAAGGTCCTGCCTGTACAATCAGAGAGAAGTCTTAGTGGATACTTGCCAGAATTCTGATTCCTATAGCGAGTGTGCTGAAACCATCTTGGAACTTAGTACAATTACAGCTTCTAACAAGTGTTAAATGACAGTCGATTGTTACTGTATGAACCATGGTCATTTTAGTAGTACAAGTAAAGTTAAGCGAATTAACAGCATATTAAATAAGTAGCAATTATGGTACAAAAATTATTTCTGCATGTAGAGAGCAAACCTAGTCTAATTTTTCCCAAAAAAATGCACATTAGAAAAGCATTATGGTCTATTTATTTTATTTATAAGGATACATGATTACAAAGCAGTTAATGCTGAATTATAAGACTACATGGTTTCCAGATGTCTTTTGTAAGACTAAGAATAAAGAGCTATAATGGCTGTGAGATTAAAGACAGACAGCATAAGAATCTATTCCAAAATTAGCAAGACAGACAGACAGGTACTGCCAAAACAGACAGACAGGACACTGTCATTCGGAGGGCCATCTAAACTGTGATGGCTGTATACTTCTGGCAAGAGAGCAACTGAGTGAATGAATGGTGAATGCATCATCTTTTATCAGGTCACCCTACCTTGGTGGGAGATGGCCAGTGCTAAAAATTATTCACTATTATAAATAAATAAATAAATGTATGAATGATGATGAAGGTGTAGAATGATGATGGTTTTTTTTTTGGGGTCACCCTGCCTAGGTGGGACACAGCCAACTTGTCTCAAAAATATAATAATATCTTCTTTTTTTCAACACACCGGCCATATCCCACCGAGGTGGGGTTTACCTGGAGTTTACCTGGAGAGAGTTTCGGGGGTCAACGACCCCGTGGCCCGGTCTGTGACCAGGCCTCCTTTGGGGTGGCCCAAAAGGAAAAACGAAAGTTTCTCCTTTTACATTTAGTAATATATTCAGGAAAAGAGGTTACTAGCCCCTTGCTCCTGGCATTGTAGTCGCCTCTTACAACATGCATGGCTTACGGAGGAAGAATTCTGTTCCACTTACCCATGGAGGTAAGAGGAAATAAACAAAAACAAGAACTAGTAAGAAAAATAGAAGAAAACCCAGAGGGGTGTGTACATATATCCTTGTACATGTATGTGTAGTGTGACCTAAGTATAAGAAGAAGTAGCATGACGTACCTGAAATCTTGCACGTTCATGAGACAGATAAAAGACACCAGCAATCCTACCATCATGTAAAACAATTACAGGTTTCCATTTTACACTCACTTGGCAGAACGGTAGTACCTCCCTGGGCGGTTGCTGTCTACCAACCTACTACCAACATATACATAATACATATATATATATATATATTATATATATATATATATATATATATATATATATATATATATATATATATATATATATATATATATATATATATATATATATACATTATATATTATAGGTAGTAGGTTGGTAGACAGCAACCACCCAGGGAGGTACTACCGTTCTGCCAAGCGAGTGTAAAACAAAAGCCTGTAATTGTTTTACATGATGGTAAGATTGCTGGTGTCCATTTTTCTGTCTCACAAACACGCAAGGTTTCAGGTACGTCTTGCTACTTCTACTTACACTTATGTCACACTACACATACATGTACAAACATATATATACACACCCCTCTGGGTTTTCTTCTATTTTCTTACTAGTTCTTGTTCTTGTTTATTTCCTCTTACCTCCATGGGGAAGTGGAACAGAATTCTTCCTCCATAAGCCATGCTTGTTGTAAGAGGCGACTAAAATGCCAGGAGCGGGGGGCTAGTGACCCCTTCTCCTGTATATATTACTAAATGTAAAAGGAGAAACTTTCGTTTTTCCTTTTGGGCCGCCCCGCCTCGGTGGAATACGGCCGGTGTGTTAAAAAAAAAAAAAATTATTATATTTTTTTATTATCACACTGGCCGATTCCCACCAAGGCAGGGTGGCCCAAAAAAGAAAAACTTTCACCAGCATTCACTCCATCACTGTCTTGCCAGAAGGGTGCTTTACACTAGTTTTTAAAGCACCCTTCTGGCAAGACAGTGATGGAGCGAATGATGGTGAAAGTTTTTCTTTTTCGGGCCACCCTGCCTTGGTGGGAATTGGCCAGTGTGATAATAAAAAAATATAATTTTTTTTTTTCAACACACCGGCCGTATTCCACCGAGGCAGGGTGGTAGACAGCAACCACCCAAGGAAGTACTACCGTCCTGCCAGATGACTGTGAAACAGAAACCTGTAACTGTTTTGCATGATGGTAGGATTGCTGGTTTCTTTTTCTGTCTCATAAACATGCTAGATAACAGGGATATCTTGCTACTCCTACTTACACTTTGGTCACACTTCACAGACACGCACATGCATATATATATACATACATCTAGTACATGTAGTAGGTTGGTAGACAGCAACCGCCCAGGGAGGTACTACCGTCCTGCCAAGTGAGTGTAAAATGAAAGCCTGTAATTGTTTTACATGATGGTAGGATTGCTGGTGTCCTTTTTTCTGTCTCATAAACATGCAAGATTTCAGGTACGTCTTGCTACTTCTACTTACACTTAGGTCCCACTACACATATATGTACAAGCATATATATATACACACACACACACCTCTGGGTTTTCTGCTATTTTCTTTCTAGTTCTTATTCTTGCTTATTTCCTCTTACCTCCATGGGGAAGTGGAACAGAATTCTTCATCCGTAAGCCATGCGTGTTGTACGAGGCGACTAAAATGCCGGGAGCAAGGGGCTAGTAACCCATTCTCCTGTATAAATTACTAAACTTAAAAAAGAGAAACTTTTGTTTTTCTTTTTGGGCCGCCCTGCCTCGGTGGGATACGGCCGGTTTGTTGAAAGAAGAAAGATCTAGGTTTTTCTCCTTTTTCTAAATAGCTATTGTTCTTCTTTATTTCTTCTATTGTCCATGGGGAAGTGGAAAAGAATCTTTCCTCCGTAAGCCATGCGTGTCGTATGAGGCGACTCAAATGCCGGGAGCAATGGGCTAGTAACCCCTTCTCCTGTAGACATTTACTAAAAAAGAGAAAGAGAGAAAAAAAAATATATATATAATACACTTTGACAATTTTCTTCTTCTCATTCTTTTTAGTAATCTTTACAGGAAAAGGGGTTACTAGCCCATTGTTCCCGGCATTTTAGTTGACTTTTACAACACGCATGGCTTACGGAGGAAAGATTCTTATTCCACTTCCCCATGGATATAAAAGGAAAAGTAATAAGATCAAACTATTAAGATAAAATCTAAGAAAACTCAGATGAGTGTGTATAAATAAATGTGTACATGTATGTGTAGTGTGACCTAAGTGTAAGTATAAGTAGCAAGACATACCTGTAATCTTGCATATTTATGAGACAGACAAAAGACATCAGTAATCCTACCATCATGTAAAACAATTACAGGTTTTCGTTCTACACTCACTTGGCAGGATGGTAGTACCTCCCTGGGTGGTTGATAGATAGGAGTGAATGGAGACGAATGGTACTTGGGACCTGACAATCTGTTGGAGTGTGAGCAGGGTAATATTTAGTGAAGGGATTCAGGGAAACCGGTTATTTTCATATAGTCGGACTTGAGTCCTGGAAATGGGAAGTACAATGCCTGCACTTTAAAGGAGGGGTTTGGGATATTGGCAGTTTGGAGGGATATGTTGTATCTTCATATATGTATGCTTCTAAACTGTTGTATTCTGAGCACCTCTGCAAAAACAGTGATAATGTGTGAGTATGGTGAAAGTGTTGAATGATGATGAAAGTATTTTCGTTTTGGGGATTTTCTTTCTTTTTTGGGTCACCCTGCCTTGGTGGGAGATGGCCAACTTGTTGAAAAAAAAAAAAAAAAAAAAAAAAAAAAAAAAAAAAATAAATACAATTCAATAATATATATAATATATATATATATATATATATATATATATATATATATATATATATATATATATATATATTTATTTTTTTTTTTTTTCAACAAGTCGGCCGTCTCCCACCGAGGCAGGGTGACCCAAAAAAGAAAGAAAATCCCCAAAAAAAGAAAATACTTTAATCATCATTCAACACTTTCACCACACTCACACATTATCACTGCTTTTGCAGAGGTGCTCAGAATACAACAGTTTAGAAGCATATACGTATAAAGATACACAACATATCCCTCCAAACTGCCAATATCCCAAACCCCTCCTTTAAAGTGCAGGCATTGTACTTCCCATTTCCAGGACTCAAGTCCGACTATATGAAAATAACCGGTTTCCCTGAATCCCTTCACTAATTATTACCCTGCTCACACTCCAACAGATCGTCAGGTCCCAAATATCATTCGTCTCCATTCACTCCTATCTAACACGCTCATGCACGCTTGTTGGAAGTCCAAGCCCCTCGCCCACAAAACCTCCTTTACCCCCTCTTTCCAACCCTTTTGAGGACGACCCCTACCCCGCCCTCCTTCCCCTATAGATTTATATGCTTTCCATGTCATTCTACTTTGATCCATTCTCTCTAAATGACCAAACCACCTCAACAACCCCTCTTCTGCCATCTGACTAATGCTTTTATTAACTCCACACCTTCTCCTAATTTCCACACTCTAAATTTTCTGCATAATATATACACCACACATTGCCCTTAGACAGGACATCTCCACTGCCTCCAACCGTCTCCTCGCTGCTGCATTTACCACCCAAGCTTCACATCCATATAAGAGTGTTGGTACTACTATACTTTCATACATTCCCTTCTTTGCCTCCATAGATAACGTTTTTTGACTCCACATATACCTCAACGCACCACTCGCCTTTTTTCCCTCATCAATTCTATGATTAACCTCATCCTTCATAAATCCATCCGCCGACACGTCAACTCCCAAGTGTATCTGAAAACATTCACTTCTTCCATACTCCTCCTCCCCAATTTGATATCCAATTTTTCTTTATCTAAATAATTTGACACCCTCATCACCTTACTCTTTTCTATGTTCACTTTCAACTTTCTACCTTTACACACATTCTCAAACTCATCCACTAACCTTCGAAATTTTTCTTTAGAATCTCCCATAAGCACAGTATCATCAGCAAAAAGTAACTGTGTCAATTCCCATTTTGAATTTGATTCCCCATAATTTAATCCCACCCCTCTCCCAAACACCCTAGCATTTACTTCTTTTACAACCCCATCTATAAATATATTAAACAACCATGGTGACATTACACATCCCCGTCTAAGACCTACTTTTACCGGGAAGTATTCTCCCTCTCTTCTACACACCCTAACCTGAGCCTCACTATCCTCATAAAAGCTCTTTACAGCATTTAGTAACTTACCACCTATTCCATAAACTTGCAACATCTGCCACATTGCTCCTCTATCCACTTTCATATGCCTTTTCTAAATCCATAAATGCAATAAAAACTTCCCTACCTTTATCTAAATACTGTTCACATATATGCTTCAATGTAAACACTTGATCTACACATCCCCTACCCACTCTGAAGCCTCCTTGCTCATCCGCAATTCTACATTCTGTCTTACCTCTAATTCTTTCAATTATAACTCTAACCGTATACTTTTCCTGGTATACTCAGTAAACTTATTCCTCTATAATTTTTACAATCTCTTTTGTCCCCTTTCCCTTTATATAAAGGGACTATACATGCTCTCCGTCAATCCCTAGGTACCTTCCCCTCTTTCATACATTTATTAAAACAAAAGTACCAACCACTCCAACACTATATCCCCCCCTGCTTTTAACATTTCTGTCATGATCCCATCAGTTCCAGCTGCTTTACCCCCTTTCATTTTACGTAATGCCTCACGTTCCTCCCCCACACTTACATTCTGCTCTTCTTCACTCCTAAAAGATGGTATACCTCCCTGACCAGTGCATGAAATTACTGCCTCTGTTTCTTCCTTAACATTTAAAAGTTCCTCAAAATATTCTCGCCATCTACCCAATACCTCCATCTCCCCATCTACTAACTCCCCTACTCTGTTTTTAACTGACAAATCCATATTTTCCCTAGGCTTTCTTAACTTGTTTAACTCACTCCAAAATTTTTTCTTATTTTCATTAAAATTTCTTGACAGTGCCTCTCCACTCTATCATCTGCTCTCCTTTTGCACTCTCTCACCACTCTCTTTACCTTTCTTTTACTCTCCATATACTCTGCTCTTCTTATAACACTTCTGCTTTGTAAAAAACCTCTCATAAGCTACCTTTTTCTCTTTTATCACACCCTTTACTTCATCATTCCACCAATCACTCCTCTTTCCTCCTGCCCCCACCCTCCTATAACCACAAACTTCTGCCCCACATTCTAATACTGCATTTTTAAAACTATTCCAACCCTCTTCAACCCCCCCACTACTCATCTTTGCACTAGCCCACCTTTCTGCCAATAGTCGCTTATATCTCACCCGAACTTCCTCCTCCCTTAGTTTATACACTTCACTTCCCTCTTACTTGTTGTTGCCACCTTCCTCTTTTCCCATCTACCTCTTACTCTAACTGTAGCTACAACTAAATAATGATCCGATATATCAGTTGCCCCTCTATAAACATGTACATCCTGGAGCCTACCCATCAACCTTTTATCCACCAATACATAATCTAATAAACTACTTTCATTACGTGCTACATCATACCTTGTATATTTATTTATCCTCTTTTTCATAAAATATGTATTACTTATTACCAAATTTCTTTCTACACATAGCTCAATTAAAGGCTCCCCATTTACATTTACCCCTGGCACCCCAAATTTACCTACTACTCCCTCCATAACATTTTTACCCACTTTAGCATTAAAATCCCCAACCACCATTACTCTCACACTTGATTCAAAACTCCCCACGCATTCACTCAACATTTCCCAAAATCTCTCTCTCTCCTCTACACTTCTCTCTTCTCCAGGTGCATACACGCTTATTATAACCCACTTTTCACATCCATCTTTATTTTACTCCACATAATCCTTGAATTAATACATTTATAGCCCCTCTTTTCCTGCCATAGCTTATCCTTCAACATTATTGCTACTCCTTTTTTAGCTCTAACTCTATTTGAAACCCCTGACCTAATCCCATTTATTCCTCTCCACTGAAACTCTCCCACCCCCTTCAGCTTTGTTCACTTAAAGCCAGGACATCCAGCTTCTTCTCATTCATAACATCCACAATCATCTCTTTCTTATCATCTGCACAACATCCACGCACATTCAGACTTCCCACTTTGACAATTTTCTTCTTCTTATTCTTTTTAGTAATCTTTACAGGAAAAGGGGTTACTAGCCCATTGTTCCCGCATTTTAGTTGACTTTTACAACACGCATGGCTTACGGAGGAAAGATTCTTATTCCACTTCCCCATGGATATAAAAGGAAAATTAATAAGACCAAGAACTATTAAGATAAAATCAAAGAAAACTCAGATGAGTGTGTATAAATAAATGTGTACATGTATGTGTAGTGTGACCTAAGTGTAAGTAGAAGTAGCAAGACATGCCTGTAATCTTGCATATTTATGAGACAGACAAAAGACATCAGCAATCCTACCATCATGTAAAACAATCACAGGCTTCGTTTTACACTCACTTGGCAGGACGGTAGTACCTCCCTGGGTGGTTGCTGTCTACCAACCTACTACCTATATATATATATATATATATATATATATATATATATATATATTTTATATTATATATATATATACCTATATATATATATATATATATATATATATATATATATATATATATATATATATATAATATATACTACTATATATTAATTTTATATATATTTATTTTTTCAACAAGTCGGCCGCTCCCCACCGAGGCAGGGTGACCCAAAAAAGATAGAAAATCCCCAAAAAGAAAATACTTTCATCATCATTCAACACATTCACACATTATCACTGCTTTTGCAGAGGTGCTCAGAATACAACAGTTTAGAAGCATATACGTATAAAGATACACAACATATCCCTCCAAACTGCCAATATCCCAAACCCCTCCTTTAAAGTGCAGGCATTGTACTTCCCATTTCCAGGACTCAAGTTCGACTATATGAAAATAACCGGTTTCCCTGAATCCCTTCACTAAATATTACCCTGCTCACCACTCCAACAGATCGTCAGGTCCCAAGTATCATTCGTCTCCATTCACTCCTATCTAACACACTCATGCACGTTTGCTGGAAGTCCAAGCCCCTTGCCCACAAAACCTCCTTTACCCCCTCTTTCCAACCCTTTCGAGGATGACCCCTACCCCTCTTTCCTTCCCCTATAGATTTATATGTTTTCCATGTCATTCTACTTTGATCCATTCTCTCTAAATGACCAAACCACCTCAACAACCCCTCTTCTGCCCTCTGACTAATGCTTTTATTAACTCCACACCTTCTCCTAATTTCCACACTCTAAATTTTCTGCATAATATATACACCACACATTGCCCTTAGACAGGACATCTCCACTGCCTCCAACCATCTCCTCGCTGCTGCATTTACCACCCAAGCTTCACATCCATATAAGAGTGTTGGTACTACTATACTTTCATATACTCATACTCAAGATCAGATGCGAGCTTGGGTACACTGATGAGGCAAGTAACTTCTCTGAATTTGGTAATACTTTTGGAAAGGATGTGACATTAGTCATACACAACCCTTATAGTGAAGGAAGGGGAAATTAAAAGATATACTGAGTGAGAAAGGGTTAGTGAAATAACACTGGATACCCAAATTTAGTTAAGAGCTAGATGAATAAGGAAATAAGTGATGTTTTAAAGAAGAAAGTAAATTTTTTCTTATGAATATTGCAGAAGCCAATTAAAAAGGAACTGCTTCCTATGGAACAGTCAATGGAAGAACATCATTCCAGTGACAGAAGAATTCTTTATTTGGATATTCTTAGGCAGAAAGAGAATTACGTAGTATACATGTTAGGAGAATAGTCATCTACAGCAATTACAATTATGCAGGAAAAAGTCAAGGTAATATCAGGAAGTATAGACATCATGGTAAATCAGACTATCACAATGAATGAGAATTCTGCTTTTAGGGTTTCAATATACAATATACAATACAATATTCAATATACATGAGTCAACTGAATGCATACAGTATAAATACAACATATCTATTATAGAAAATTCCAGTTATAGGCAGCTATAGGAAAAAGGAATAGATCTAGAGAAAGCCTGGAACACTAGCTACAATTGGAAAAAAATAATTATGCCATGGTTGTATAACGTATATTTCATCCATCGTGATACACCGTAAACTAATAATTAATTATGGGTGTATACAATAATTTGTAACTTAGATTATTTACTATAATTAATATCCTTCCAATTTATTAGTACTGGAAATTTTGAACTAATCAGGATGGGAATAAATTTATTACAACTGGTTAATGCCTTATATATAATATAATGTCAAGTATTGTAAATAATTAGGCATCACATTCATAAAATAAGCTCAAGAAAACTAATGCTATTAACAAAAAATACTAAACTAACCTCTACACTCAGAGCTCCTCCAAACTCTTCAACTCCTGGAGCCAGGATCACGAGGTTCTGGTAAATGTATTCTCCATAGCGAGAAAGTTGTAATGATGGGTCATCTGCTGCCTTCACACTCACTTCATGGCCACGTTCTATTCAAGAAAGCTTAAATTTGAAAATATATTGCAATCTGCTAATGAAAAAATACAGCTGTAGTTACAGAGGTATGGAAACAAGCATCAGGGTAAATGGTTCAATCTATGACAATGCAAACACAAACAGTAGCTATTTCATTTTGCTTGAAAAAATAGGAGCGAATATTTAACATGGAGTGGAAGGCAGGACGAAAGGGGTCATCCCAGGAAAAGTTGGGGGTACTGTATAAAGGTTTGAGTATCCAGCAAGCTTCTCAAGCAAGTTAGAGAAGAGTGAATGGCTGTGCTGTTAGAGTGTGAGCAAGATATGTTTTATGAAGAGTCCTGGAGCTAGGAAGGGCAGTGACTGCACTATGAAAGATATGTGGGGTTGTTGCAGTTGGAGGGTAATTTGAATTGTAATGTCAACACACTTCCGAAGAGACTGCAACTGGATAAACAATGCTAAGTGCACTTTCTTTTGGGTCGCCCTGCCTTTGGGAAGATGATATCACGAGTTTAGCCTGCAGTCTGCCTCATGTAATATTTATCTGAAAGCTCAAATCATACATTATTATATTTTACCAGAAATAACTGAAATTTTTTTTAAATCCGATATGGTCAGTGTATGAGAAATACATTTCTTCTTTCAGTATTTATGAATTAAATTTATATCAACAGCTGCCTCCACTCTAAGTTAGTCAAGCCATATACTCACTTAACATACATTTCCAAATGTTTGGCCAGAGTCTGGTGAGCATTACTGTACATGTATTACAGAATTATACAATGAAGTATTATCTATTGAAGTATCATGCATTTCTGGGGGCTAACAGCTACTACTGTACAAATACTGACACCCGGTAGGTAACTTTAGTGATTTTTAACAAGGGACTGCTGGACAGCCCTTTTAAACAGATTTGAAAAATATTGTTTTATTTGGTGGCAGTAGTGGTGGTGATAATCACAAACACAGTAATTCCATTATCATTGTCCTCATCGCTGTCGGGCCGTGTGGACGCGCTGCGCAAAAAGCTCCTGCTTTCTCTGTTGCGCAACTTCCTGTTTTCACCAAGATGGCTGCCAGCTACCGCAGGAGGAGCAACACCGTGTGTGTTGACCTTGTTAAAGGGACAATTTATCCGACGAATGCCTCTGTTTTATTACCAACGATTATACGGGACACGTTTGGCATTGACAATGAAGAACTACATGGAATAGCGCTTAATGGTTCTTCAAGAATCTTCGTAAAGTTCTGCACAGTGGAGGCATATGAAAGGACGGTGACTCAGTACCAGGAGAAGGGCATCACCGTATCATCTGAACTGGAGGTACGCCTGCGGGATGCCTCAAAATACTACACCTGGGTGAGGATCCGCAACGTTCCTTTTGAGGCAGATGAAGTGGATATCAGAGATTTTTCAACGATATGGTGAGATGCATGCTATAACTTTAGGCCGATGGATGGATGGAATCTATGCAGGGTTGCCTGCTGGATCTTACACCGTCAAAATGACATTGAGAAGACCTATTCCCTCGTATGTTGTCCTGGAGGATTTTAGGACACGGATGTGACCTACGCGGGACAACGCAAGACGTGTCGCCTGTGCGGCACTTTTGACCACATGGTGGCTGGGTGTGGTAAAGCAGCAGCGCCGCGGCCTTGGGAACGGCAAGTAGTCACAGAGTCTCTGGCGGCACCTCTGCCGAAGACTATGAGTGCAGTAGGCAAAGGTAATTGGGTGGACGAAGTGGAGGGTGTGGAAGAGAATTGTGTGACGCTACCAGTGGCTTCGGATGCTCCCCCGCAGACAGACCCGGGTGTTGAGCAGCAGCCTGTGGGGGTGGGAGAGGCTGGTGATCTACAGGAGTTATCTACGCCCCTACAGGAGATGATTAAGTCTTTCCTGGACGTACCTGCGGAGGAGAACCCATCTACAGACGGGAGAATTCTGATGTTTGAGAAGGACCTGATTGAGCAGATTCCAGGGCCTCCGGGGTCAGAGTCTGGCATTTTGCAGTTGCTACAGGTGGAAGCTGAGGTGAAACAAGGGAGTGGAAATACTGATAAAGGATTTTGTGGGGGAATCTAGAAAGGAGCTGGAGGCTCGTCGGATGAGGAGTTATAACACCAGCTCAGCGATCAGGGAAGATGATGTGGGCGGGAGTGATTAAGAAGGGGCAGGGTAGTCACGGGGGGGGAGGGTCCAGGCGGGGAAAAAGTGCACGGGAAAAGAAAAGAACAAGCAAGAAGTGTAACAACAGGACACAGAGACATAGAGGAAAACCACCCTTCTGAATCTTTAAGTGTCTAACCCATAAACGTGAAAGGCCTTAGAGCCGACGGTAAAAAAGTATGGTTGGAGGATGTTTTGCGGCGTTTTAACATTGATGTGTGTTTTATTCAAGAACACAATTTTAAGTGTGGCAGAGAGTTGAGGCTGAACGGGTTTTAGGGTGTATGCTGGTAGTTCAGGGGAAAATTTAAAAGGGGGGGGTGGCAGTGGCGGTGAGGGAGTCCACCATTCCACGTGCTCAAAGTGGGAAGAGGGGGGAGGGGAGGGTGGCAAGGGTGGAGGGGATATGGGGGGAGATTAGAGCATGTTTTCTGGGATATATATGCCGGGAGATAGTAACATACGGGTAAAGGTGAATTTTATAAGGGATTTTTGCTTTTTCAACATGCGGGGTTTACCCACGGTTTCTATAATAGGTGGGGATTGGAACTGGGTAATCAGGAATAAGGATGTGGAGCCGAGAGGGCAAGGGTGTGCTTGGGGTATTGAGGGATTTTTTCGAGGGATGCAGGGTTTAAAGACATAGTCCCGGCGATGGGTGGAGAGTAGAGCACACGTTTAGCGGAGGGGTTATGCTGCCATGTTGGATCGTATATTTTTATAACTCGAGATATAACAGTAAACGTGTAATGACGATTGATTTAGGTTTTTCAGACCATCGTGCTGTTTTGGCAGAGGTGGCATGGGAAGGGATGGTTTTTTTAGGGATGTGGGTTATATGGAAAATGAATGTGAGGCTACTTCAGGGGAGGGGAGGGTTGTTTTTTTAGGGAATGGTGGAGGCAACTCTGGGGGGTTCGCAACAAAGAGGGGGATGTCTTGGAATGGTGGGAGAACACGCTAAAATTTCAGTTAAGGATATTACAGCATAGAGGATGGGATGAGGTGAGGTGGAGGTTTGGTTTACAGAAATATTTTGAGTGGCACTCAATGATTGTTATGAAGGGGGAGGGGGGGGTAGACAGGAGAAATAGAGGTTTTAAGGGGAAGATTGAGGGATAAAACAAAATTCTCGTTTTGATGCGATATGTGTGAGGGAAGGTTTAGAGGAGGGTTTTATGGGTGAAAAAACCGTCAGGATGTGTTTTGAGGAGATTTAGGAATAGGCAACAGATGACCACGATTATGGAATTAAGGTGTGTAAAGGGGTGGGGGGAATAGGGTGGGCAGGTACTTAGTACCACCGATGGAATGAGCAATTATGCTGATTATTGGTTTTAGGAGAATTTTAAGCAGGGGAGGGAGGAGGGAGGGGGGGAGAGATTCTAGGAGAAGGAATTTCGGGGATTTAGGGAGGAGGAGAGGCGTAGTAGAGGGTAGGATCAGTGAGAGGAGGTGGAGGGGGCGGTAATGGGCTTTGAGTAGGGAAAAGCCCAGGCATTGATGGGAATTCCTAATGATTTCTATATTACACATTTGGGATTGTAAAAAGGAATGTCCCGGGCTCGTTTAACTGTATGAAGGAAAGGGGAGTGTTGGGGGAATCACAGGGCAAAGGGGGGAGTAGTTTTGGTCTATAAGGAGGGGGGGGAAGACCTTGGGTGCTTTCAGGCGATCTCCCTCAGTGTGCTGATTATGAAGTTTTTGCGAAGGTTTTAGGTAATTGTAATGAAAAAGGGGCTTGACCGAGTCCTACATAGAGGACAGTGTGGGATTCCAGGTCGAAGTATGCGTGAGGGGCATGGGGGAATTAAGGATTTTGTGGGGGGTAGACAAGGGGGGATCTTGGGGATTGATTGGGAAACAGGCTTATGACAGTGTAGAAGACGTATTTTTGTGGATATTTTACAAAAACAGGGGTTTTGGGGATGAAATGTGTGCTGGGGGACACTTTGTATAACCCCCGCGACGGTCAGGGTACAGTTAATGAGAAGTTAGGGTTGCCGGTGGGAGTTGGGGAAGGGTTTGCGACAGGGTTGCCCCTTGTCTCAAATCCTCTTTGCATGCATGCAGGACCCTTTTTAAAGGCTTATAGAGAAAGGAGTGGGGGAACAGGGAAGGTGGGTCCTGGCAGATGTGGTATTGTGGGGATGTGGATGACAACACAGTTTTGGTGGAGGGGAAATAGGATTGGGGAATGTGGGACGTATAATAGAGATTTTTGGTGGGCACAGGGATGAGGGTTAATGGAGCAAAGTCAAAGTTATTAGAAGTAGGCACGTGGTGGTGGGGTGGGGGGGGGAAACTGTATGGGTGGAACGTAGTGGATAGAATAAGATATATGGGGTTGTGTATAGGCGGACGCGGGGGAGGCGTAGAGAATAAATTCCCAAGGAAGTTTGTGAGTAAGACGATGGTAGGATGCCGGGTGGAGGGCGGGGATGTAAAAATTGCAGCAGAGGGTGGTGGTAGTAAACACACTTGTGTACAGTAAAGTGTGGGGGGTGGCAGAAGTATATCCCCGAGGTCGTGTGATATTCAGGAACTGGAGAGGGTGGTTTTGAGGTATGTGTGGGGTTATGGGAAGCCATGGCTACGGAAGGAGGTGGTGATGATGGGCGTGCAGCAGGGAGGGCTGGTCTTAACCGTTTGGGCACACGAGTGAAAAGGGAGTGTATGTGAAGCAGTGGTACTTGAGGGTGGGAGGGGAGAGGGGTAGAAGGGTGGGAGAGGTCATGGAGGATGTGCGAAAATGGTGGAAGGGGAAGGCACTATTGGTGGGGTGAAGACATGGTGCGAAATTTGTTGGGATACGGGAAGCAAAAAAAGTAGGGTAATAGG